TATAGTTCAGTCTACTTTCTTTTAGATAACAAAATTCTGTCCTTTATGACCAAATAAAATTCCATTGTGTATGTATCTGTTCATTTATCTGTTGGCTGATGCCTGGGCTGAGTCTATAACTTAAGAATAATGCTGCAATAACGAGTGTGTGTGTGTGTGTGTGTGTGTGTGTGTGTGCGCGCGTGCATGTGTAGAGCATCACAGAGTGTGTGGGCTTAAAAGTTTAATTTTCTGAATCTTAATGTAGTACTTGAGTCAAGTTGCCTGTTTTATAGCTATTGAGAACATGCCTGCATGTTTATTTTTTTCTGCCTGATGTTTCTAGGGATGCTAAACATTATTAGTGTTGTATGTTGTTTTAGAGAGTTGGTGTCTGTGTTTCCACGGAGACTGTGGGAGCTGCTTGCTGGTGCAGACTGTGTCCCTCTAGTTGGTGGTATTAAAAGCTTTCCCAAAAATTTCATTTTAGACTTTTGAGTTCTGGCTGCTATTATTTGGCCGTTTTTGTTATTTGGAGGTAGTTTGTATTTCGTGCGTTTAGACTTGAGCTATTTCATAGTGACATAGCCACATTTGTGACAGCTATTGGTGAAGATACAGTTGGTCTAGGCTCATCTTCTGGGAAGCATCAAGTGTCAATTTACTTCACACACGTTTTCATGTGTGTCTTTTAAAAGTCCTGCCTATTTGGTGTGCTTAGTGTGTACTTAGCTGTGTGTCTAATAGTGCGCTAGCTGTCAGTTTAAGCCTCTGAGTGGGAGAAAACATTTACACAGATATATAGAAGATAGAAGTAAATGTCCCAGGTACTCACAGAGCAGGGTACTCAATGAGTCGGCACATTTATAAGATTGAAGAGAATGACACACACATAAGCTATTTGTAGACACTGCATTTTTGTTAGGTGCTCACTGCTTACAAATGCCTGGTTATCATCCTGTGCACTGTTGGTGGGAACAGAAAGTAGTATGGCTGTTTGGCTGCTGTGGGAAACAGTATGGTTATTCCTCAAACAAAGGAATAGAATTACTACACAATCCAGAAATTTCACTTCTGGGTATACAAACTAAAAAATTGAAAGCAAAAATAGATACTCAGGAAACTGTGTTCACAATAGCTTTAGCTGAAGTTGCCTGAAGGTGCAGGCAGCTGCAGAGCCCCTGGATGAATGAATGGAATATGATCTAGCTTTGGAAAAGAAGTTCTGCTGTACATACTACACACTGATGAACCTTGAGGACATTATACTAAGGAAAACAATAAGTAGGTCACAAAAATTCCGAAGTATTGTGTGCTTCCATTTTGAAGACACCTGGCATTGGCAGCCATCAAGTCAGAAAGGAGGGAAGATGGATGGCAGACATGTTCAGTGGATGTGGCTTGTGCTTTGCAGGGTGAAAAACTTAGTGGAGATGGTCTCATAGCAGTGTGAATGTACTCAGTACCACAGAGCTGTGTGCTTACGAGATGGTTAAGATGGGAAAACAAGCCACAGCTCACACAGTTGCAGAGTGTGGTTTAGGGAGGTAAAAGTGACCACGACACTGGGAGGTGAAGAGTCCTTAAGAAGCAGATGAAACAAAGATGGCAGAATGTGGGTACCTATTTAGACTGGATGGGGGCTATCCATCAGGGTCCACTGTGGTGCTCTCTTTATTTTAAAGTTCTTGTTTGTGGTTCAGTTAGGAAGACTACTTGCCTTTTCTACAACCAGTGAGTGCCTCGAGAGAGGAGTGAGCTGGTATGAGATGGAGCTGGTTTGCTCCTTAGTGCAGGAGGCTGAGGGGAGAGCAACTTTGAAGCAAGGGAGGGCAGGTTTTCTGCAGACAGCTAATTTTGTGGTACCCAAATGGAACCAACTCCCCCAATTTGTCCCACTGACTTCTACATGTGCACCATGACAATAATGTGTGCTTTTACACTAAAATAATCATTCGTGCATGTGTGTGTGTGTGTGTGTGTGTGTGTAAGTTGGCAAAAAAGGAGCTGGAAAGATGGCTCAGCAGTTAGAGCAAGTACACAGAGGACCTGAGTTTCGTTCCCAGCACTACACTGGGCAGCTCATAACCCCCTGTAGTTCCAGCTCTATAGGATCAGTTACCTCAGGCCCCAGGGACATTTGCATTCCAGTGGACACAACCCCCATGTACATAATTAAAAATAAAGTGAACCTTTAAAAGACTAGCAAAAAATAATATTGGCAGTCTGCTTCATTATTGGAATATTATTATTTTCTAAAATAACTTTTGCACTTCCTTCTAAATTTGTAACCATAGTTCTACTGAAATATGAGTCTATCCTGTCCTACCTAACAGAATAAGGTGAGATTACTCGGTACTTCTTTTCATTTAATAGACTGTGATAATCATCATTTCCTTGCTATAATGTACAAATGGTGTTCGTGAGAAACTTGTAGCATCTACTAAAATGTCAAAATGGAAAGAAGAGAGTATTCTGTGAAGTTTGACAATGACCCAAGAGAAGGGCCTGCCAGTGAGTGGCAGGTGTGAGAGCTGGTAGCAGAGTGCCACTGGCAGCAGTTTAACTCAGGGACAACGTCACATGCAGGGGCTGGCCAGTACGGAGGACGGGGACACAGGACAGTAGCATGAATGGTGTGCTCGCAGACGGTCAGGTGGAGGTAGGGATTTGTCTAATGGAGCTTCTTGCTGGAGTTGCTGTGTGTTTGGTGAGAGCCCAAGGAGGAGACACCACAGTAGGGCTACTTTCTTGCCCTCCTATTTCTCTTCAGTAGTTTCTGTCTCAGGCTGATTCGTCCACTCTACAAATTCTGAACACTTCCTGTGTGGAGACTGCTTTGCTAAATACTGAGAGAAGCTGAGGGGGCAAAGCCAGCAGGAGCCTCTGCTTCAAGCTCAGGTCAGGAGTCACTTCCAAAGTGTAATGGGAACGGTGACATCAGAGCAAATCCTATGTCTGGACACACTCAGGTGCCCTAGGGCAGTGGTCCTATGGTTCGCAACTCCTTTGGTAAACCTCTGTTTCCAAAAATATTTATGTTACAATTCATAACAGTAGCAAAATTATAGTTATGAAGTAGCAATGAAGATAATTTTATGGTTGGGGGTCACCACATGAGGAGCTGTATTAAAGGGTCTACATTAGAAAGGTTGAGAACCACTGTCTTAGGGGGATAGAGGGAAGCCAAGAGCTAGAGATGAAGGTACTGAATTCAGTTCCGGTATTGCTGGTGACAGCCCAAGTTGCCCGCACCTATTACCTGGGTTAAAACAGATTTTCTTCAGAATTGTCTTTATATCACCCAGCCTGATGTGTGGGTGATAAAGGAAAAGATAGCACATTTTGGTCTCAGGTTCCTACCTGGGATACTACTGTTCATACTCTGCTTAGCCACTTCCTGTCTAGCCCTTATGTCTCAACTCAGACACCCTTCTTCTCAGCCCTCAGTCAGGACTGTGTGTGATCCGGAACCTGTGGAAAGACTGGTCCCAGAGACGTCCAGAGAGGCAGGGCAGAAGGCCAGTGGGGTCCAAATGAAGTCCTTCAGGAACACCTTTCAGCCCTAGTCCTGTTCCCTCATGAAAAGTAACATTACAAACTATCGAGTGTGCCTGATAGTTTGTGCAATGAAAGCAGAAATCCCTAGCAATCTCATGTTATTTAAAAAGCCCCGGTGTAGTCAGTTTCCAGTAAATACTTAATGAGTGATTGGATGCCATTGAAATGTGTCAGTCAAGAAATTGATGAGAGGAGGGGATTGTGGGTTGTTCCATCATTGGCGGCATGCTGGGCTTATGGGTTGGAAGGCAAAGGGAAAGAGGAGGAAGATGGAATAGTGTGTACAGGAGAGTTGGACAGAGAGCCTGAGAAGGAAGGCCTTTTGTGTCTCCTTGAGATGAGGGAGAGGGCTTTCAGTAGCAGGCTGCCGTGGGTATACACGGTTCTGTGGGCAATAACCTCATGCTAGGTGCCTGTGGGTTTCTCTAAACCCTGCATGTATTTGTAGTCAGAAGCAGTACAGCATAGCTGTATTTAAGTTCATCACTTGGGGATGGATTCTGATAACATCAGCATGCTGTGCTTCCTGCTGTCCTGTTAGGTCTAATCAGTACTGATTTGGGCAGCTCTGAGGACTGTGAAGTCAACAAGGGGGCTTTCTGCAGCATATTTTGCTGGACTCCTACTTTAGAGACAGATTTCCTTCACTGGTATTTTACTGGGAGGTTGGGTTCTGGTCCTGTATTTCATTTGTAAGAAAGGATAGATGTCTTGGAATAAGGCAAGATGGAGCATACTTGTAGAGGTGCAGGGTGTGGGGACTACCATCTTTGAGAGGTCCAGCAACAGCATGGGGTCTCTCTTCAGTAGTAGCATTTGTGCACTTGCTAGTGTACCCAGGGCATGGATCCATAGCAGCAGGATAGATGGCAGCTTCATATTTGCTTCATTATGGTTTTGGAGGGGTATTTACATGTTAACAGTAATATCACTCTGTGTGTGTGTGTGTGTGTGTATAAAAAAACTTGGATGAGCCAATGCTTGCTTTACTGGAGAAGCGTGCTGGTTTTCATGTACTGCAGCACTGCTTTTGAAACCAGGAGTTCAGAAAACTGTTTATTGGTCAGTATTGTACTTTGCTTTCTCACCCTTGTGTGTGTGTGTGTGTATACAAATATATGTATACAAAATGTTAAATTTCTGTTTTAACTTCATTAGTGTCATTAAGTATAAAAATAAATATATCATAATTTCAGAAAAATGAACGAAGTATTATTTTGACTTTGTAATCCAAACTTGTGATTCTATGATTGTTACTGTTCTAGCTTTTAAGGACAGCAAGGGAGCCTTCCAGGGAGCCTGCAGCTATGAGGCCGTGTGCAAGCGTGTGCACACTCAGTTTTCTGAAATCAAGTTGCTTCTGGTACTTTATATTTTAATGTCATGTTAGAGGCTTCATTTCATGATCATTTGTTCATTCACATATGTTTTTATTTTTAGCTCTAAGCAAAAGACATGAGGCCTCAGCTGAATTGAGGTGGCTTTGAGGTCATCCAATTTCTAGACGTGTGCGATCACCTGGTCCTGAAAGCCCTCCACACAGAATGGTAATGGCAAAATTGGAGGGATGGAGAAGGGGCCTCATTCTCCCACCTCTTCCCTCCCCCAACTTTTAAGTATGTTAAAGAAGCAGTACTTAGAGAAAGGTCTAGGCTTAATTTCTGGGAGAGACTAAGATTTGCTCAAATTCAAAAGATGTTCTCAGCTGCCATTAACTCAGAGAAGAGACTCTGTGCCATTTCATATCCTGCATTTGATATAGTACCATTGTAGCTTCTAAAATTATCTTACAAGTTTGCTGCGTGTTAGCCAAAGTTGTGAAGTTGCTTCATTGCTGAGCTCTAAGAGGGGGCAAATTCATCCCAGTCTAGTGGACCACACAGAAGACCACCTTCAAGTTCTTTGTTACCAAGGAGACAGTTGCATTTTGAAGCACTGCTTTGTTGCTTCTCATGTTTCCTTGCATGGATGCTCATCAGCTCTTCTGTGCATCGTCTCACATTTGTCTGTAATATTTTCTCTGCCCATAACCCCATAACTGTACATGTCAAGTGTGGCAAGATTCATAGAACATTTCCATCCCTTCATGGACGTGACATTTTATGACGAGTGAAACCTGAGCTCTGGCCCCAGGAGAACTGAGCTCTTACTTGCATGTCTGCTTGTCCTCACTGGCCAGCCTTGTCCTATTTTAGACAAAAGCAGTGGTTAGTGGAGTGGGCTGTTCCTATATGCAGGGTTACAGATCTCTTGGAAGGGAGAACTCTGAGCTCTTGGTTTTTCTATAGAATGATGCTCTGGCCTTAAGTGGCATGGTTTCTAAACCATGTTAGAGGAGTTGGTCATGTTGGTCATATGGTTCATTTTTGTGTATTAACAGTGTCTTATGCTGGTCAGGGACGCACACCTTTAATCTCAGCACTTGAGAGGCAGAGGCAGGTAGATTTCTGAGTTCGAAGCCAGCCTGCGCTACTGAGTGAGTTCTAGGACAGAGCCAGGGCTATACAGAGAAACCCCACATGGAAAAACAAAATAAAACAACCAGCCAACCAACCAACCAACCACATACATACATACAAACCAGTGTCTTAGTAAAAAGAGGCAGAGCACTATATTTCTGAAGTCACAGTTCTAGCACTTGAGAGACATGAGCAACATAGTGAGTAATACTGTCCTAGATGAGGGTAAAGTCTTAATGAGAAACAATTACCAGCACTACTGATGCCTGTATAATTAGAAATTGTAATCTCTAGCTGAGCTTAATATACACACCTGTTGTCCCAGTACTCCTGAAGCAGAGACAAGTCAGTCTTTGTGAGTTCTAGGCTATCTGGGTCTACATAGAGTTCTGGGCTACATAGTGATAATGCACGTGTTCCCTCTCCCTCTCCCTCTCC